GGGTCCTTTCATTTCTCCTTTCCTCTCCCCTCCCTCCCTTCCCTTTCTTTTTGGGGGGGATGGGTGGGTTGGGTTGTTTTTTTGTGAATTCCATCTCCTTAACTCCTTATTGTTCTCTATTCCCCGCCCCCACTTATTCTTGCTTCCATTATTGTGTTGAAAAACAAAGAATAAATGACCATATATGGTAATATGGTGAGGATATTCTTCTCCTTACTTCAACGAACTGATCTCTGTTCTCTTCCTCCTGTCCTCCTCCCACCTCCCCCCATCACCGCCCCACCTCTCAACCACCCACCAGGTGACCAGTCCGACTCCCAGACCCAGGCAGAGACTGGGGAGGAGGTTGTGGAGGCGGTCGCTTCGTCCTCGCTCTCTGGTGAGGCCTGGTCAGGGAGGAAGGGAGGGAGGTTGTTGGGGCGGTCAGGGAGGGGAGGGAGGAGGTTGTGGAGGCGGTCGCTTCGTCCTCGCTCTCTGGTGAGGCCTGGTCAGGGAGGAGGATGCTCAACCTTTGTTTATGAAGCATGACACGCATTCCACATTTTATTTTAAAAAGGCAAATGATTTTTTAGTTGCAGCATACAGCTGTTACCTGTCTGCCATATACCGTTGCAATCTTGTGGATAGGCTGTTGGGCTCTCAACCAAAAGATCACAGGGTTCGAACCCCGTCAGGGACCCAATGTTGTGCCCGTGGGAAAGGCATTTACACATATTTTCCTCACTTTCCCCAGTTGGGAATGGTTACCCATCTTTAGACAGTGAAAGATCTTGTCAGTTTGTTAGTGTTTGAGTGCTTAAGATTAAGAGGCTGCTTGCAAGGTATGCTTCCTGGGAAGATGAGAATGTTTCTGAATGTTCCGTAGTCTGCTGGGGTATTAACAGTTTTATAGCGCATAGGGCTTGCTGTTGAGCTATACATATACTTTTTATTATTATTGTTATTTTTTTATTTTTTTTATGCGTATGATTAAATAGGCTGTTGTTATGCATGCTTTGCAGAAATCACTTTTTGTTATACAGTCGATTCTTTTGTTACGATCACCTGTGCAAGATTATCACTTGTACAAATGACCATTTCCCCCTTTTGCATTTTGTTTTCTCTGTTACAACAATGATATTGCCCTAGAAGACCACCTGTCTAAGATGACTACTCTACTCCTCGACAATGGATTACTGACTTGGAAAAGTTTGACCGTAGTTGTAAAAGAACTGTACAAGTTTTGTTCGTTTTTTTTCTGTCAGTTTCTAAATGTAGAAAACATGTTTTCTTTTTTTAAATTGTTATTTCTTTAATTTTTTCCCCCCCCATAGATTCCGACCAGTTTGTGACCGCGAGTGTGTCTTCTTCGTCTATGGCGGCAGTTGCTTCCCCTTCTGGTGCGGAGAGCGTGCCAGGTACTTCAGACGCCAACGACAACATGAGATGTGCCAGTGTGGACAGTGGGTTCGAGTCGGTCCCATCGCGGGTAGGCTACGTCTGGTTCTTCTTTCTTTTTTGTTTTACAGGCTGATGAAAGATGCTATCGCTATCTCTCTGTGGTTTTCATTCTCTCTCCAAAGTTTGACAAAATAGCAAGGTTAAAAAATTATTTTTTAAAATAATTTTTTTTCAGTCTCTCCAGTACTAGATCTAGACACTTTCTCTTCATGCTTTTCTTCTCTCTCTCTGTCTCCCTCTCTGTCTCTCTCTCTCTCTCTCTCTCTCTCTCTCTCTCTCTCTCTCTCTCTCTCTCTCTCTCTCTCTCTCTCTCCTGTAGTAAGACAAAATTACTGTTTTGTTGTTCAGTCTCTTGACATCTAATTTCTATCCTTTAATGTTTTTTTCATTCATTCTCTCACCTTGTTTGTGTCCCTGGTGCAGTCGGAGAAGCCTGTGTGTGTGTGTGTGCGTGCGTGTGTGTGTGCGTACGTGCCCAATTTATTTTAAATATCCGATGTGCTGCACCAATGTATGAAATTGCTGAGCCATATGTTAGAACATGTGGATGTATGGGCCATAGGCCTTTCAAATAAATAAATCATTTTGAAATCTGAAATCTCCCCTCGCACAGTCGGAGAAGCCTGCGGTGCCCACCTCCCAGGTGATGGGGGTCCAGGCCACGGACCAGGAGCGGGACAAAGCCACGCCCACTTTCTTCATCAAGCCCGTCAGCATGGAGGGTGTGGGCATCAAGGGGGCCGAGAGGCTGGAAGATAAAGGTACGGCCTGGACACCCGCTAACCACCCCGTGGCTATTTCCTTGGTCAGCTGTTTAGATGTACTTTTACTTTTTACTTTTTACTTCCTCTGGTATCCTCTGGTTGTCGAGGGGAGTTGCAGGTTTCGGTCCTGCGCTAGGTGTGTAGCATCTGTGATAAATATGTTATGTTGTTCCAGGACCTTTTTGACCCCCATCCAGCCAGGTATTTCTTGGTCTTCCTCTTGATTTGAAGCCGGATTCTCGGGTGTTGTAAGCTCTAGCCGCTAGTTTCTGGGGCATTCTGGTTAGATGTCCGAACCATTTGACTCTTTGATGCTCTATGAATCTTATTACAGGGTCAGATGTGCTATGCCCAAAATTGTGTTGAAGTCTTTTTTTTTGGGGGGGGGGGGGGGGTTGTTGGGGGGTTTTTTTGGGGTCCCTTGTCCATTTCTATGATACTGACGCCATCTGATTAGAAGAGAAAATGTGCGTATGATAGTTTCCAATAGCGTATTACGTACATAATTGTTAAAACATGTAACTGTTACCTATAGATGTTCAAGATAATTATTGATGTATGTGAAGGATCTGAGAGCAATGATGATTTTAGAAATGATGGTGGTGATAAGTGATGATGTGAGATGGTGTTTTTGTAAATAATTATGAAGAAGACAAGCTTCTGTTAGTTAAGGGGGTTTGGTTTTGGGGGGGAGGGGTGGGGTTGTGTTTAAGTTATAAAATTTTAAAATTTTATTGCTGTTTCTTAATCTGTGATATTGCTTGTTTGTGTTCAAGAAATATTTTGTATTCGGCATTGATACGACTTATTTGTGTTGCAAGTGCCGTATAACGCTTACTGAAACCGTTTATCGTAAGAAATGGTAATGTCTCTGTGGTCTGTGTCTCCGCACGGCAGGCGATAAGCCCCTGGAGCTGACCAATCGTCGCATCCTGTCCATGGACTGGCGCAACAACGAGAAGCTGTCCTCCTACGTGCTGGTACAGTCCAAGGAGTTGGTGAGTGGGTGGCTGGCGGGCGGGTGCTCTGCTGTGGTTGGCTCCCTTTTCTGTCATGAGATCTAATCTTTTGATTCGTTCAAATGTCAGCTAATGTCATTTCTGTTTTTAAATTAATAAGATGAATATTTGGAGTGATTTTCTTTTAGTCAGAACACAACATTTTATGTTGCTGTTGTACATTGTACTGTATTGTAAAGCGCTCAGAGCCTGTGTACTTTAATCGAGTTTGAGCTCTATATGAATGTCCTTTATTATTGTTATTATGTCAAATATCTATGGTCCATGTCTGTCTTCTTTCTTTCCCTGCATGTTACTCGCCAGTAAAATGTGGGTGGTTGGAGGGTGCTCTGGTGTGAGTTGCTCCTTTCCTATCAAACATCTATCGTCCTTATCTCCCCTCCTTTTTTGTGTTTTTTAGTCTCTTGTAACACCTCCAATCTTCGGCACTTATACAACCTTATTGTTGCAAGTGCCGTAAAACTCTAACTAAAACAAAACAACATTTCTTTTCTGTGTATGCTGTTCTCCTGTTACACTTCTTTAATTTTCAGCATTTTTATATGATCTGTGTTGCAAGTGTGGTAAAACTAAAACTAAGAGTTAATGAGTTTACAATTCATTTTGTGAAGAGATTGTTGCTTCGGTTGTGGGGAAGCAGTTCAGATTTTTTATGTGCTGTTTCTTTTTCAAATATTTTAAAGTTGTGTTGTCGTTTACATCATCAACACGCTTTGATAGAGCTGTTTCAATGGAGACTCCTCCTTTTTGTTGTAAAGATCTTGTCTGGTTATCAGAGTTCCCCTGTGCTCTGACCAAATCAACCTCCTCCGGGCCTGACAGCGCTTATATGACCTGTTTCTGCTGCAAGCATCATAAAACGCTAACTTAACACTCTGCCATCAAGGGGCTCATATAGTAAAAACCTTTTCCATCAAAGGCAAAGGCATTTTGGGGAAAATCCGAAGAAACTGGGTGGCAAGCATGGCCGATCGGCGAGATGTGGCGGCAAAATGTTCAACTAAAATGAAGTAAAACTGCTTGAGCCCAGGCAGCCACTGGAGGG